GGTTTTCAAAATGCTTAATTAGTTTTCAAATAAAATTATGTGTCAAATGTGATAGTTTGGTATTTAAGTCTAAATGAATGTTTATGGCCTTTCCCAATTGTTATATGAAGTTTGAAAAATTCATGTTGTGCATGGATATTGGTACTTTTTTTGGATATTTAGCTAAGCTAATGAGTCTTGTTTCTTTATAGCTTGTCATATAGTAGTGAAGGTTATGATGGGGCCCTAGAAGTTGGTGGGAGACCTTGGTAATGCTTGTCATATAGCTAAGCTAATGAGTCTTGTTCCAAGCAAGCAATTATCCTTGTGGGAGACCTTGGTAATGCCAAAGGTCAGGTTACCTTGGAATCAAATACACAATGATGGAAGCTCTTAGGGTCAATATGAACTTCTAGAATGGAAATTGCATAGCTATTTAGGTGATATTTTGGACTCCATTTTATCTTTTGAATATGTACATGGATTTTCTTACTTTACTGCAACTCACTATTAGCAAGAGAGTTGTCTTTTTCTTGGGTGAAATTTTCTTGGTTTGTTTTAGTGACTCATGTAGGACCAATATTTCAATTACAGTCCTTTGAGAATGTTGAATGGTCATCCTTTGATAAAAAAATTATGGTTGTTGATGAGCGTAATGGCTTCTTAAATGAATATGGAATAAAATAAAGAGAGATGATACCTAAAATTACCCACAAGGTACCTAGAATCATTCTAAGGTGTTGAAGTCACCCACCATAATTAGCATAAGTTCAACAAAACTCAATAAACTTCAATGATTTTTGTGTAAGACATCCATATATATTTATATACTCTAGACTCATAAGAATCTTAGGACTTGAACGGTTAGATTTATAAAAATCCTTGTATGACTCAAAAACAAAAGAGTACTATCCTATCTAAATTCAAAGAAGACTTAGGCTGCATTTGTGAATGCTTATCCAATGGACATTTTATGCTTTTCACATTGGAGAAGCCAAAATCCAGCCAAAAAATATTTGATGAAAAAGTTAAATTGGGCTTTACAAAAAGTCTGTTTGAAAAAAATAAAAATAAAAATCCATCTTTTAACACTTGCAAGAAGCTATCTTGAACAAAAGGCTGATGACTAGTCAAACGCTAAAAGTGCATTTTTTTCAAAAGTTTATTTAGGTTGAAAAGCACATGGCTTTAATAACTCTTGAACTAGTTATTCAATTCAATGACTCTAAAACTTTAAATAAAAACAAAATAGAAGTAAAAAAAATCAGACCATATCATTAGAGCCCCATATAAAAAAATCATAAAATGACAAAAATGCCCTACTACACAAAAACATAGGAATACATAAAATATCAGAAAAATTCCAATTTCAACTCTTTAGACCATGCATCAAATTCTTAAAATGTGTTTGTTTCTAATTCAATTCTTTCCAATTTCTCCACTCATCCATCTCAACATTCACATTTCTATTACAATCGTTTTGTTTGTACATGTTATTTATTGATTATCCAACACTCTACTCCATATAATATCAATGGCCTTATAACTGTTTTATCAAAATTTTCTTTTWGCTTCAATGGTATTCTTCTATCAATAAGAATTTAAATGCACCCCGCATTTTGTCTTTTTGTCTCTAATTCAATCCTTCTTAATTTCTCCACTCGTCCATTTCAACATTTGCATTTCTATTACAATTGTTTTTTTGTACATGTTATTTATTGGTTATCCAACACTCTACTCCATATAATATCAATGGCCTTATAACTGTTTTATCAAAAAATTCTTTTAGCTTGAATGATATTCTTCTATCAAACAAGTCTTTAAGTGCATCTTGCATTTTGTCCTTTTGGCTCTAATTTATGGACATCCACTTCCTTAATCTCTCATCTATTACAAATCATTGAACCAATGTGATGAAAGAGATTGCATTGTGACATCTCTTGGTTTCGAATCTTAGTTGTACTTGGTAATGACCCAGTTGTTCGGATAGTCACTTGTGTCTCTCTAAAAGAGGGACATGGGATTAAACTCACATAATTGTAAAATCTCCATGGTAAAGTTAGTGGACCTCACACACATCCTGCCATGAGCCCCCCTCCCCATGCATAATGTATGTTATATAATACCATAATTGTACTCAAATTGCCACTCCTATTATTAAACTTACATTGCATCTATTCTATTTGAGTCTTGTTTTTTAATATTTTTAATATTTGATAGTGATATTTWTTATAGCATTTAATTAGACAGTTTTTTTATATCAACATATTAGGTTGTGGTTTATAGGTTCATATCAGATTTGAGAATTAGATAATTTTAGGGAGAATGACGGTTCAGCCCCCAGGGTCAGAATTTTTAGGCCCAAAGTACTGTTGGGGTAGGTGGTAGCTCGGAATTGATGCCAATTCACGGGCGGGCATTGGTGCATAGAATGTGGGTATTTGACACTTTGAATGTTTATAGATCTACAATGGAATTCAAAAATCTGCATTGGGCCTGTCCATACTTTTCCGATAATTTTATTAAGGGTGGATATATTTTACTTTGTTGTGTGGTCATTTTACAAGTGTTGTTGTTGATAGACTTATCCTTAGGGGGTTAGTGATATTCAACAAAGGATCAAAACCCACTATTTAATGGGTCTTACCTAATGAGTTTCTCGTGCCAAATTTCAGCATTATGAAATAAATGCATAAGACTGTGTTTGGT